ATACTGAAACCTCCTCAAATCCCCTTCCGGTTCTATTGGTATTTAGGTTTGTGAGTTAAGTGTGGAGCAATCGACTGTGTTTGAATAACAGACTAGATCAAAATTTGGACGTGACAGTACATATGTTCGGGTTCAATGTCACGAATTATTAACTATGAAGCTAATACAAGAACTGAGTAGTTTCTTAATAACTGATTCCGGCTGTTCGCAAAAACTTCATATTCATCGCTCTCTAATCGTTCGTTTGCTGATCGCATGCATGTGTGAAACACACGTATTCTGTAGATATTTTGTGTTCGACCTTGTTTTTCCACGTTATATTGACGTGATATTTAGGAGGCTCATGTGTGTAATTAACTGAGACCTATGATTCAATTATCTATCATCTCCATTCACCATCGTGTAGTCTTCACACAGGCATCAAAACTTCATGTAACTTGATTATATCCTGATGCCTACTGACAGTGGGGTTAAAGACGTGCAAGTCACTATGTTCCACATCCGTCAGCTAATTGTAACTGCGCTCCATTGTGTTTCACTGCTATCCTTACATCACGACTTTAATCCAACTCACATATCTTCAGAGAATAGTCCCATGCATTACACCGACCAGTTAGGATGATGGTGACTCGTCAGATGGTTACTTTGTTTTACGACATACAGGTTGTGCATTCAGCACACTGAAATCGTTAACAAATTTTGTAGCTACTAATCCGACATACTCTTACATGAGAGCTACTATGGTAATTAGGATTATTCGAATTAATTTACTAAGAATTTCCGAAACACTGCTATTTAAGGCCCGTCGAACTAAAAGAGCAAAACTGGACGTAATATATATTTGTAATTTATAGGTATCGTTACCAATTTTTTGATTTGATAATTTCGAATAAACTGAGCATTGGGCAGATTGTTATAAATAAATAATATATTTGTAATATCCCAATGAGTAGAAAAATTAGGTTTTCTGGCATTTTGTGACCCAGCGCAAGCCAATTCCTCAGAGAATAAATAACCAAATTAAAATTAACCCAGGTTTAAATAGTACAAAGGAACACTAAAAACACTAACGTATGACAAACCACCTTTTCGAAGTCACACCCTGCGCCGAGCATCTAACGTGGATTGCCCCTACGATGTATTAAAGTACTATGAATGCTTTAAAGACCGTATATATTATACAGAACCAAAGAATTAAAGTGGATACACTTCTTTTATATTGTCAAAAAACTTGACAAGGTTAGAAAGAGGTTCAAAGGTTCCAAAATAGTCCTGCATAAAGTAGAGGAACTCATTCATATGGCTCCATAATAATCGGTCTCTGGGGCCATTATAAGGTCACAAAAGCACTCTCGGCCTCTATCACATAGCTTCAATATTGTTTGTGTGTACTCCGGTTGTGTAAATTTATCATTTTGATTAAGGATATGTCCCTACAATACTCATACCACAGAACGGTCGAAGTTTCAGTGACATCTGCGATTATTGCAGCCAATTTTACTGGTGCTTTTTTTGTACGGTTCACGGCAATTATTATAATATACCTAAGTCTGAATCTGGATCGAGCGAAAAAGGTTCATATTCTAGTGTAGCGTCACTAAATATCGAACAAATCACTGACCCTTGTCAAGGTCAAGGATAGTCAACACGCACAAACCAATCGTACGCCATGGACTGGCCCACACTGCAGTGGTTATTCTTTCACTTCTGTACTTTCATAGTTGTACCTTAACTAATATATTCTTGTAATCACATCCTTTGTGTTGTACAGTCTCCATAGCATCCATTATCCTTTGATGCGTCGATGGTTCAATGCACGTAAGGGCTGGTCGCGAGGTGTGACTTCAGCGTTAGTTGGTTCGTCACCATTCTCGTCTAACTCTAGTAGGCCCCCAATCATTTTGACATAGATCATCAACGTAGATGGTCTTACACTAGCAAACGTATTCCTTCCAAATATGTTATATCAAAGGACATTACGATAGTCTGCACAAGGTCTTCAAGTCATTTGATCACTGCAATTTCAAATAAAGAAGCTTCTTAGAAATCTCACTTATCATAGTCGATTAATTGTCAAGTCTTCTCTAAAAGCCTCTGTGAACCGATCGTACATGAGCACCAGGTACTGAAATTGCCGCCGTAGCCTTGAAACCCCTCAAACTCTTCTGATTGGCTCGTCCATAAATTATAGTCTCGACCGTCTAGTCATACTTATTAACACTTTTCAAGCATTCCCAGTCTTACAATATCTGGATTTGTACTGTTCAAAGCTAGTCGGGATAAATATATTCCAATAATGTTTACTATATCTGAGAAGCTTCTTGACTTGCTCCGTTATCCATGGTGGGCAGTTATTCCGCCTACGTGGTACTACGCATGGTATAAACATGAACGTAACTGAACTAAGATTTCATTTAAGTGTAGACCATGCTTCTTTAACTGATTATCTAGTGTCTACTGACCAATCGCATGTTATTTGCACTCTACAGCTGAATGTGCTCTAAAATAAAGTCATCAGCTAAGCAGATTGGGCTGCGATAGATGACATGGATTAAATGGTTGTAGACGGACTAGAGGCTTTAGCTCAACGGGTTTTTGCATCTAGTAGCGGTGGATTACCGATGCCCCCAGGTATTTTAACGATGGGTAAGAGAAAAAGTAGACATAGTAAACCATAGTGAGATACTGTCCTTAAGAATATCCCAAGTTTTCTCTCAGAAGGTTCGTGGAGATTAGCTCGGCCGGCAGCGAACTACAACATTTGACTACTATTAACGAGTAGAAAGTGTGCCTACAGTTCATTCCACTGTGTTGTTTCTCCCATTTCTGGATGTTACCTCTAAGGTTTTTGTTGAGACTAAGCTTATGTAGGTGTTTAAAGGAATGTACAGCAGTGGTTAGGATGCTATAAGTCATTAGTAGGCCACCTCTGTCTTCTGTACTTTAATGGGTAACTGTTCGGTAATTGAAGGCGCTGTTCATATGACTTGTGTTTAGGTCCCCGGACTGATTTCGTCACATTTAGCATAAGAAATCAGGCAGTAGGGTGCCTCGAGTCCTAGATCCATTTCAAATTAAGATACTTCTAGAGGGGTGTTACTTAAGTTGTATTCGTAGTCTGCAAAATGTTTCCGATGGACCACTTTGCACTTTGAAATGTTAAAGGCAAGTCCGCTGTTGTCTGCCCAACTATGAAGTCGTTAGATCCTCCTGAAGTGCCAGTTTATGCTCTTGGATGCAGACTGCACTTCAGAGTTCCATATCACCAGCGAAAAATAATAAATTTGACTATATTTGCTGTGGAATATTGTTTATGCAAATCAAGAAAAGAAGAGGTCCCAATACTGAACCCTGGGGGATCCCACCTGGACACACCATAGCCTGAAAGAAATGAAAACCGACCTTAAAATGTCGATGTTTTAGATATCAACAGAGTTAATTAATTAAAGGTGATTTGATACCTAATCGTTTGAGCTTACTGATAAGACATATGATTGACCCTACTAAGAACTTTTGGGAAGTCAAGATATATGACGTCAACCTTCGCCCTGCGATCAAGGATGATTGTCCATCTGTCCTCAGTGGCTAGCAGGTTGGTTATACAAGAGTGACATTTACTGAAAACATGCTGTTGTAGTGAAAAGAAGTTTATGGATAGTAAGTAGTCGTATGGACCGTCGAATTTCATGGACTCCATAAGTTTTGAGGGTATTGAGAGGAGTGCTACCGGTCGGTAGCGTGAAGGTTTTCGGAGCCAACCTCCTCCGAAAATTGGTGTGTTGTCAGCCAGCTTACATTTTTCTGGTGATGTACCTCGGCTTAACGAATGTGAGAAGTGTCCCATTTAGGAACTGGGATTTCCGGTACACGAAGTCAGCGCTCAGCTTCATGTTCAATTGCGAACGAAGCCCTTCCATATAAATGTGCACATGAAAAGGTAATGAAATATGAGAGTTAAGTGTATGAAATGGACGTTGCCGATAATGACTATGTTTAGTGTGACTGCGCGTTTGCAATGGAATATCACAGAAATAAACAATTTATCGACATATGACTAACGGAACCTTTTGCCACTTGGGTTAACTAGAAACATGTCTGTTGAAATATTGCATGCATCTTTATTTCAATAGTGGCTTATCGGTTCCAAGTGTAGTCGATACTACGTGAAACATTAATAAGAGCAAAGCTGTATTTCAACTGAGTACCCTGTCAATATATTGAAATACTGTATAGGATAAGGCATAAGTATATATTAGCAGATAGTGGATATTAGTGATACATGAGAAGCAGATTATCTACAAATAATCCTTATAGATAAAACTCACACAATGAATCAATTGTAAGTTTGTCGTATAGGAAGGAAGTCGCAAGATCTATTTCCAGTTCGGATTTTCATTTAATTGAAGTTCAGGATGCTAATATAGAAATCATGTGTATTCTGATGATCAATACTCCATATAATATATACAGTGTAGTGATTTCGAAGGCAAATGAGTATTGCAAACTCACACGAAACGGTCAAGAAGAGAGATGTTCAGTACTTAACTATTTTTAAGAGAGAACTGGTGTGTATTGAAGTTAAACCTGTAACGAATAGTACTAACATGACAAATGACTGTACAAACCTTCACCAATCTGATATTATTGAAACTTTTAATAAATCATTTAATAAATCAATTTCATTTGTTCGTTATGGTGACAACGAAATATTTACATAATCAGGATCACATCCAAGCATTCATACAGAGTCATCGATTATGTTGTTTTTTTTTCAATTAAAATAGTCATACAGGAACTTATACCATGTAATGAGATATTCAAACCTGTCATTTATAACAATGTATTAACTGTTGCCATCATTATAACTAGTATAAGTGATTTATCAACAGATTACGTACAGATATTAGATAACTAGCAAATTATCACTGATATTCATTCGCAAAGTCTAATCATATTCACAAGCCTTTTCTACAAACACAACTTGAATCGATCATAAATTAGTAATAACCGATTATTAGGGGTGATTATTGAGAAAGTAAAAAAGAATGTACAGAAAACCAATGGGGGGGGAGGAAATATTGTCAATGTATGTCAAGTTATTTAAAATTGTGCATTATAAAAACTTGATCATATATGGACCCTCTAATTTATAACCCAATTTTCGATAGTAGTTTCTAGTCCCCACACCGGATATAACTGCAATCTTCAATGAACCATGTTCATATTTAGCTATACGTTCTGCTTCTTCCATTAGTAAAGTTCCGAAACCCTAAAATAGAATCAGTTAGAGAGGCAGTAGATTGATCAACATTGTCAAGGAAGCATAACGGGAAATTAAAGGGATAAAATCTTAAAATTGACTTAGTTAGTGGGGTTTAACCATCTAGAGATTTTCACAGTTGAAATCATGAGTCAACTGAAGCTAGACCACCATCGAAAACCTGGAAGCACTGGACGGCCGTTTCGTCCTATTATGGGACTCCTCAGCAGTGGATGCGCACTGCTTCAATTGACTCATGATTTCAACTGTGAAAATACTAAATTCTCCACAAAACACCATTTGATCTATCTAGAGATTGTTGACTGAATGTAGAATGTTTTGTTCAGCAAACACAACACTATTGTAAACTAATTAAATTGACCATTTACATTGAATAAGGAAGCTGATAGATACAAACAAAATGTATGTTCAAATCAATACAATATCGATTAAGTATTTGGGGGTGTATATGGGCCACATCACTACTAAAACCAAAATAGACAAGTCCATCAACCATTTTAGAAGAACCTGAAAACTGGGTAAAAACAACTAAGCAATTTAATTTTTTTATTTGGAGCAGTTTAATCAGTTGACGGTGTAATTAACATACAATATGTTGAAATTGCGATGAATTTATGTCAAACTACTACTTATTTCAGCGTATTTAAATGCCCACTAACTAGTTAGGCAAACAATAAATAACTCAGTGTATTTTGAATTAGTAGTTGTATCCATTGCGAACACCAGTGACAATTGTCAGTAGAGCGTATTTGCAACTTACAGGAAACTAATAATCTCAGTGGGATTCAAACACGGGTGGTAAACTTTGCTGTTCCAGATGTTTCAATTAAGTTGTTCAGAGAATGAATAATGTGCTGTAGGTTTGAGCTACTAACAATTGATTAGTCACGTAGCAGTGCCCATTGTTATGTTTGTCCTGGTCCTTAACACCGATCGAATTCTCGTGATCGATTTATAAACCAAGTCATTTGTAGAAATAACTATGTCTACATACCACAGTGAAATAAATACTTGGCAAACGAAGTAGTGCAACATTACAATCGACACGAGATGATTCGATCACTGGAAGGCAACCTGAGGATCTTTAAACTAACTTCCTAAAATGTCGAATGGTATAAAAATGATAATAATTCGAATGAAACTGAAAAAATTATGCAATCTTTATATCAATCGAGATTATCTATCGTAAATTGAGTCAAAATAATGAAAGATGGGTGTAGGAATGTGGAGTTTGTGCATTCTTTCTTTTTGTATGTGAGAAAGACTAAGGTTAAGAGATTTGTGTACGACAGTTACATTACTTATGAGTAACTAGAAGTGAGTTGCACAATCCTCTTAGTGTATTTCATTCATTAATTGTTAATTAATCAGTTGTTGATTGCTTAATGTATTACTTACTCGTCCGACCACATTAATTGGTCAGTTTTTTCTATCTGTCTGCACTGATACTTTGCAGTTCTTGGTGAGTTAAACACCATGAATGTGAGTTTTAACCAGGTGAACGATTGTTTTTTGTAGAACAATATATCTAAGGAAAAGCCATGACAGTTTGTGACTATTACCAAATACGGAAGCTCAAATTCGGTGGACTTAACAAGGTATTTAACAGAAATTACTAACTTTAGAATGTTATTATCATTGTTATTTTTACTACTACTGTTATTAACACACAGAAGAGCATTCCTTTTCCGATATACAATTAAATTACACTTAAACTTACTTGATGTTGAAACTTCGTGGGATCCCTAGCAGCCACTGGAACAGCACTACCATATACATGTAGTTCACGTACAATGGAACAACGAGGATCTTTATTACCTTGAACATCGTCATCATTATTATTATGTGTTTTAACGATTAATTCTGGTCTAAATGTTTGCAGTGAACACTTTCTTAAACGTAATAAACCGATCAATATATCTTGATATGGATCCTCATAGGCTAAAAATGTCTCCCAACCACCATTTGCAACATAATCTCTACGAACAAGTTCAACCTGTATTGAATGAATAGGAGTATATTTCGAAGGAAAAAAAAGGCAGAAGATGACGATAATGAAGAAGTACGTTGAAGAACTTGAATATGAACAAAGCCAAACAAATCGAGCAAAACACATCAAAGTATCTGGTACAAACCTAGGAGCAACATTAGTACACAGGTCAAAACTGCTCGCATTACGAATCGAAATATAGTTAAGAAAATAATATTAGTAGTAATGAGGAACAAATACTGGAAAATTGTGAGAATAAAGTCTGAAAAGCATAAATAAATCGGATCAATGATTAGTGTGGAATTGTATAAATAGTTTTACAGATAAGATGGTGGTTGGAGGTGGTCAACAGGAAACCCTGGACCCGGGTTTCGTGCTACTTGGCACCTGTCAGCAAGGTATACCTGTAATCTTGAGCGAACTGGTGATTCCTGACGGATTCGATCCCGTGTCAACCAGCTTCACAGTCAGAGACGTTACGACTGAGCTATCCAGGCCGCGACCGACCTCCTGTAGGACTGATATGTAATCACAATTGATTGATCACCACCCAGTGACCAATAAATTGTGAAAAATTTTACATCTAAATGACGAATAACTGAAATTATCCTTAACGTTTTCAATCATCGATAAAGGTATTATGAACAGCAGATCCAACTACTTTCCCACTCATTTAATGAGTTAATCTCAAATATTAGAATGCAATGTTTATCAAAGATTTCATTTTAGGCCTATCTGCTATAAATAAATCAGTGTAGCTTGGTGAAACACTTAAGATGAAAAACACTAGTATGATGGTAGTTGGAGCCTGAAATGGGGTTTTTAGTATGTAGCATTCAACCAATAAATGAATGAGAAAATGACAGGAAGTATTGAAGGTAATCCACTTATTGAACAACGAAAACATATTGGATAACCGCAGACTAAATAAAAAAATAAAGAGCGAACATATTTAAGTCACTGAGTCTGATTGTCATCAATCTAACCTCAATTTTCCAACAGTTGATTACAATTATAAGGCTAATCTGAAACATAAATTCTGCATTTCTGTAAAAAGGCTCTGAACAATAGACAATGACTTCACATATTGGTCCAATACATTTCAGTTTGGTTACCAAACTTCTTTTAATGCTGACCACCAGTGAAGGGTAGACAGTTACTGTACATGTTTAACACGTTTTCTAGTCACATTGATCGGTAAATGCTCAAATCCTCATCAACTAGTTCACCAATCCTAACAAGTAATCTACACCAAACCTCATCATTATTCAACCAGTTATTTCATTACATATACTAATTAGAGAGTTGAGGACAGGGCATTAGTTATTACAACCTTAATAGAACTCATAATTAGAGTGTGTATAGAGATGTAATTCACAAAACAAAAATATACTAAAATAAGGTTTACCTTTGAACAAATAGAGAATAAATAAAAAGATGAGGGATAATATAGCAGTTAACGTCTAAAAGAATAATTTCATAAATTATCCGGTATCATTTTCATTCCATTGAGGAAATTTATTATGTCGTAACTTAATAACTTCGTGTTCTTCTATATTCAATTGGTACTTATAGTGTGTTTTGTCGGCTTCTTTCTATCATACTCTTTTCTTTCTATATTTAGCAATGTTAAATAAATCAGCTACTGTACCATATGTAACCGTAATTCAATAATCCAAAGTTATGTAAAAATGAAGTTTAGCTGATTGGTTCAAACTCTTAATTGCAGGTGGTAAGGGTTTGAACACCACGCTCCAATCAATCAGTCCTTACTTATAAAGTGTTGTACAAAATCGTGTATAAAAGAACATTTGCTTGATACCGCTATGAATATTTACTAGATAAGATAGTAACTTGATTGCAACTATTATATACGAGGGTGTTCAATCCATCTGAAAGAACCATCTAAAGACACTGACCAACTGAATAATAATTTATGATATATATATATCATACATCATCAAGTCACAATTGTTTTACACAATATCAACGATAGAAGACTGAATCGCAATATATAGAGCAGAAAATATAAATAGAAAGCTGGTAGAAAAATTGGTTTTATTTTGTATAACTCTCATACCTGATATGGTTTTACACGTGAATGTATTTCTTGTATGCCAACTTCACGTGTTCGAACATCACGACAGCTAGCACCTAGTTCTTCCATTCGAGCTAATACAAGTTCACGTAAATTACCATGTTCCACACCACTAGTTACCAATGGCATAGGAATATCTCTAAAAGTTAATATACAACAAAATAAACCGCATGATCAGGAATGCAGGATACCAATGTAGCAAAACTCTATGCACTGAATCAAATGATATCACATCTGACCGTAACTGCTATCTTGACGTGGTAGTCTGATCTGCACACCGTGATGGCCCAGTCGAGCTATATTGGTTGAAGCACTTGTTACATTTCTTCCTATCATACTAGACAAAACTAAAAGGAAAAATCCCAAGTTTCGAGGGCGAAGTCGTACTGACAACTAAGGAATATTGTGACGACAGGAAACCACTCCACTCAGAAAACCTAAACTACGGAGTTGTTGCCTTTTCATAACGGAGAGGGTTAGGAAACGTCGGCCCTAAAAGTAACCCACCCCACTTTGATCCATGGGTTTCCATCGCTGACGATTAGCAATCCTGGCGAGAAAACTATGGCAAGACACAGAGTCACTAAGCGTCCTTAATAAGGATACGCCAAGTTCCACAAGCAGAGAGCAGAATTGCTGCCGCAGATGCATTGTAGACCCAACCTTTTACATATAGACTAACTTCATGAAGGTGTCAAAGATGGCTTAGATTGGTGTAAGACATCCTGACTTTCTCTGTAGGCAGATTGATTTCATTTGACAAGCTGTGTACACAAAATTACACAGATATACGAACTTTTCGACTATTTCTAACAGCTCACCACAAAGAGTGTCGAGACGGAATCCTGCCAGCCTTGTACAATTACTTCGCGTTTATTGGGTGTAAAGTACATGTTACATATACTGACGCTAATTATCAACTGATTAAGATTTGCATAACAAACGATTCATTAATAAATTGAGAAAAATAACCGTCCAATTAATTGTGTCGTTAGTTCAATTAATCTGAATAATAATATCTACTTTGGAACAGGTACCTATTTAAGATACGATTCATCGGTCTAGGTTATAAATAGCTAATCTAATTGGCAATGAAAAATCTCATGTTATTATCAAGACAAAATCCTAACGATTGCATACTCAGTGCAAAACCAATTTCGAATATGTTGTGACTGGTTCGTTTCTAAACAATCAGTACTAGTAGACAAATCAAGAGGATAATAGGAGTTTGTTATATAAACTCTTCATAAACTTGTGTGTTTTATTAACTATAAACTGTAGCTGCGAAGTGAATATCAACTATAGAATGCAGGTACATCTAGTGACGAGTTCCAAATAGTACGTAACGCCCATCCATCTCTGTTTGTGATCTAAACTTCTTTGGCATACACATTGTTCTTACTTTATCATTGTTCGGAGTTTTACCGAGTCAAGAGGAGTGTACAGTAAGTCAAAAATTACAAGACAAACAAGACGGGTAATAGTTATTGGTAAAGAACATGAGACGTACAATATTATAAATGATAACGAATTTGTTGCCTTTCTGTTTGGAATAAGTCAGGTGATTATTTATGTTTTCTTACTTTATTTTTATCTCAAAAATGGGTAACGTTTAAATTCATTTATTTTGGTATGTAATAAGCTAAATTTTGCAATCACCTATAAAACTTTATAATGAACAATTCAGAAGTAAATCAGTGTAAACGTTAATTGCCAGCTATCTAGACTGAATCATATAGTTCAAATCACGCACCAACCTATCTTGGACAGCTATTTAAAACACTAGAAGGTCGTTTTGTCCTAGTACGGAACTCCTTAGAGACCTTTCAGGTCTTGTGATGAGTGCTTAACCTCTAAATCACTGAGTCCGTATCCAATAACTTACATTTATAGCTTTAATCAACTCGAAGTATTGTGAAAATATCTCACAATGTCAATGGCAAGTGCCAGACAACCGAGTTGGTTAGACTCGACTAGTCTATACTGAAACAGATTAGACCTGTTATTAAAAAGGTCGACATTTTATCGATCATTAGAATATGAATTTTTCATACAACAGGAAAACAAAGTTGTTAAATAATGCCATTACGAATGACTTGTGAACTGATTCATTTATACCCCTAAATGCCCTCGTACGGCCGAGAGTGGGGAGAATCTGCTCTCCCTCTCGAAATGCTCACATGGCCACGCGTATATAGCCTCTGTCAGGGAAGTCCTAATCACTGACTTCTCGTGGCACTACTATTGTTTACGAAATTCAGAGGACGAAAAGTTAATGTCCGGCGCTTTAACCGGGTTGATGGACACGGCGAGTCCACCCAGGGGAGTTGGAAAACCCTGATTCCAAATCAATGGTGCACATGGGCTCCAGTATCCTAAGGGAAAAAATGGCGTATGAATCAATCGTTGGTTACCGGCAACCATGGGACTACATCTCCTCACGATGCTCCACTGCCTTGTGGATCAGATCTTTAGGTCGAAGGCTCCGGGTGTGGCCCTGTGTGAAAACCACCTGCTTCAGTTTGGGCACCTGGGCAGTATCACGGCCATCACACAAATCAAATGAGATTTGTGCGGCGCATATATATCTGGTGCCACTTTGTACCAATATTTATGTGTTTAAATAAAATTAAATAAATAATGATGATGACTAACAGAGATTAAAAAGCTGGAAAGTAAATTTTGTCCAACTTCAAACTAACTCCATGAAAATATGCACCCATCGAAAGTTAAAATCTATATTATCATAGTCATTTGTAAAGGTTTGTATTTTTTCGTTATCGACATTAAAGACTGCAAATAATTAGTCTCTATTGTCGTATGTGCATCAGAAATGGATTGTCTCAATATTGTTAGTTAGTTACAAGTTTCTTTTTGTGAAGTTGGATAAAAATTAGCGGTGAAATCGAGGGTGCGCATCTTTTCCCATTTAGGACTCGTCAAATGGATTCACTCGCATCCAAATGGTTCTCGAACTTAGTAGACTTTGCTATAAATCCTGACCCCTTATCTATTGAACTATTGAGTCCAAATAATCAATGGCATGTTGAAAGAGGAAGAATAATATTTGTAACGATTTGTATTTTCTCAAAATTAGAAAATCAGGACAATTCAAATATATAGTAAGACTTGTAACTATAGTCTCAGTGCGAATATCAATAATGGAACGTAGGTATCTTCAAAGCACTGCTCACGTTTTGTAGAGCAACTAAGTGAGTAATGCTGAGATTAGGGACAGGATACCAAGAGATTCATTTGATTGTGAATCTTCACACACTGAGTTGGCTGAAACAAGTGTTATGTATACCCACCCGTCAGCTATCTTGATGGGTGACGTTGGCTAGTGTAGGAGTAAGTTGGAAGAAGGATAAAGGTAGTCAAACCAATTTATACCAGTTACACTTATTAATTTTATTCATGGAACACATAAATGAATAAAATTTCATCAACATATATGATCTACCTTTGAATACGATAAATTCGAGTCCATGGTGGAACCAAAGCTAATATTCTAGCAACCAAATCAATTAGCATACCAGGTGGATAACTTTTATAACGACCAGTACGCCATAATTCATATAAACCTGTACCACGTATAACAAGTGTTGGATAAATTTTTAATCCATCTGAACGAAATGCTGGATTTTCAAAATATTCAGCAAATTGTGCTAAATCACGTTCCCAACCAACATTTGGTAAATCAGGCATCATATGTGAAACAACTTTAAATCCAGCATCTTTAGATAAATGAAATGATTCACAAACAGCTTTAACAGTATGACCTCTAAAATATAAAACAAAAAAGAAAGGATTATATAAAGTTTTTTTGATTAGATAACAACGTCAAGGGGGAATTTCACGAAAATAAATCTGAAAAACATTCTTAGAATTAGAAAATTAGCAACTTAGAAAACAGATAATCATTGCCATTATCACGAGATTTAACGAAATATAAAAAACTTCGGAAGCCTCTTTATTTCTCTTCATGGAATGAATAATCAATGAATAGTTGAAAGCGTGAGTCATTTGAGGCTAGACCACCAGGGAAAACCTGGAAACACTGGACGGTCGATTCGCCCTATTGTGGGACTCCTCAGCAGTGCGCATCCACGATCTCGCCTCGCAAGACTCGAACCAAGGACCTATAAGTCTCGCGCCAGAGCACTTAACCGATAGACCACTAAGCCGGCATCCGATGGTGTTTATATGGTGGATGCGCACTGATGAGGAGTCCCACAATAGAACTAAATGGCCGTCCAGTGCTTCCAGGTTTTCTCTGGTGGTTTAGCTTCAATTGACTCACGCTTTCAACTATGAAAATACTAAATCTCTACAAAACCCCTACTGATAATCAATAAATAGGCGGTAGAAATTTAGTGGTGAAAGTAGATTTTAAAAAAGAAGAAATTTCGTTCCAGATTTATTTGAAAATTACCCACGAAATCATTGTGAGAAGAACTTTTCCTCTAAAAATTGTAATTTACTGACTAAAAGGACAAATTCTCAGTTTGATCGATATATTTCAGTCGTTAAACCAGGCAGAAAATTTATGATATTGGTCATTTATTTACTTCTATTTAAACACATGAACATTGGTACAAGGAGGCATCAAATATATATATGAGGGTTGGAATACTTTCCGGGTGCCTAAACCGAAGTAGGTGGTTTTCTTAAGGCCCACACCCGAAGACTTTGACCTAAAGGTTTATTTCACAAGGCAGTGGAGCAACTTAAGGAAATGCAGTCCCATGGTAGCCGGTCAACAACAGTAAGTTCATATACCATTTATTTTCTCATGATCCTGGAGTCTATTTGCACCGTACGTTTGGACCTCGGGTTTTCAACTCCCCTAGGTGGATCCTCCATATCCACCAACCCGATAAAAAGCGCCGGACATTTGCTTTTCGTCTCCCCCAACCCCGCAAACAACACCCTAGCTGCGAAAATGCAATGAGTAGGAATTCCCTGGTAGTGGCTATAATTAGTTTAACTAACTACATATATAATCGATTGATAAAGTTGTGTAAAATAAAGGAAAATTATTTTCCGAAAGAGTTTACAACAAAAATTATTATTAAAAAAACAACAGGCCGAGTATTTTTATTTTCATAGACAAATTAAAATTCTCACCTATTTGTATCTCTGGCAACATCTTCATAGACACTTTGAACACCAATCTCTAACCGTGTACAACCATAACGCAACATTTCACTAAAATGCAATTAATTGTCCAACGGATGAATACTGGTTTGTAACTTACCTTAAATGTTTTTTTAAACAATAATCTGGACGTGTTTCAATGGTGATTCCAACACATTTTGTTTTACTTCGTTCAGAATAACTAATGGATAGAAATAAAGTGATTATTTATTAAATGAAAGCGATCTAAAGTATGAACAACTGTTCAAAAAAAGTGTTCTTATTAATACTAAAAGGTACTTGGTGGTGTGGTGTGGGCTACTTATATCGACATAAGTAGTATATATCGTGAGTCAGGAATAGAATATCTGGCAGCAGAAGGTTGGGAAAGGAAGAAATGGAACAGAAAACAATTGGTTTGGAAATTCAGGAACAATGAAACCTGAGACAATTAATGAACATTTTGCAAATGAAGTATACCCAAACTGATCACTGACGTCCAAACTTTCAGGTTCAGAGGGAATCTCTAATCAAGGAACAAAGAGAATTTTTTTATCGAAATCCATACAGTATGTAACGTACAACTTATAAAAAGTGCTGGGGAGTAAGATTTATACTTACCTAACAGCTTCGTCAACATTTTGGCTTGTATGACCAGATAGTGCATCATGTAAACTTCTAATGAAGTAATCCCGATAGTCTTCAGAAAGACACATAAACGTTCCCCCCATAACAATAAATTCAACTTTATCACATGTATGTCCCAGTTGTTGAAGCTGGAATTATAAATGAAATGTGTAAACCTAATCACGAAAAATTACTTGTTCAATTCGATGCCGTGTTTGAATAAAAGGATTGTAACGAGCTCGAATAGCACGCATTGAAGTGGGCTAGTAAGAACATTAGTGAAAAGTTATGTGGTCTAAACTACGAAATTACCTCATATCCAGTATACGACTGTGTAGAGTATTCAAAATCAGAATCTGGTCCACCTGGACAATAGCTATAGATAAGAGGATAAAATGTAAAGTTGAAGAAATTTGAAACACTTACACGCAAACATTCCCGGTCACAGCTATATGAGGACATCGGTGAGGTTTACACATGACTGCTATAACTACAATCTACAATAAAATGAAAATATGGATAGGTAATTTAATAAAATATATGTACACTTAATTACCCCACTAGCTGATCTCACTGGTTTCGCTTTCAAATGTGGCAACAGCACCTAGACAGTTTAGTTGGTAAGCATTCGTCACCAATGAAAATTAAATTACATGTCTATGTTCTGTTGGTACAGCTGCGATTAAATCAACCAATCGTGGTTGTGAGGCTAAACCATATTTACTAGATATCACTGATTTCAGTCTATTCAAATCAAAAACAAATTATCAATAATAAGACTTAAATAATCACTTACTTATTTAAATCGACATCACGTTTTTCCTCGATAGCCTTTAAAAGGTGTGAGATTATTTCACTCACGGTTAAAACCATGAGTTCCTCTTTGGTGGCATTGGGTACTTTGGGACAAACATTATAAGTCATAAAAATTACTTTTACGAGCTTTAGCCATATTGTTTATTGAGAACTAAGGGAATAGTTTCAGCCTTTTGTTTCCTCGTTAAACATTTTTCACCTGGGTACAAAACAGAAACTGCGACTCAGTACAAAGTAAAATTTGAGTTACAATTAAATGACAATATGGCTAACTTTGAATAAGACAAAGATGGTAAATACCACTAAGTTTATCAAACCTATACTGAAGTAGTCATAATGAACATGGGAACTGAATCAAAACTTAGATGTTAATTATAAACAGGATCCGAGTGTGTTAGTGTCAGGGTGGATCAAAAATATAGCTCCGTAAATTATTTATATTTTGTAATTGAAGTGGTTAGTCTTTTGACGTTTTGAATTATATAGATAAATTAATAATTAGTTGCAACTAGTCGGTTAAATGTATTCAGATTTGATTACTAACCGATTACCTGCTTCAGTCTGGGCATCTGGGCAGTATCACAGCCCTCACACAAATCAAATGAGATTTGTGAGGCGCATATTTATCTGGTGCTTCCTTGTACCAATATTTATGTGTTCAAATAAAATAAAATAAATAAAAACTAACCGGTTGAGCAAACCACACAACCTACCCATAACATTGTATTTCTCACATAATTTTCAGAATCAGTGGAGAATTTGCAGTTGATGGAAAATAACCTCTCCATTTGCACTCTTACCCTTGTACACCGAGGTGGGTCAGTCTTTGTTGAGTTAAAGAGGGTGAGTAACCCGTTGTGTCCATAGGATATAACAAGTAGCTATGCCACTTTCTTATCACAGTGCAATAGTGAAAATGCAATAATTCGGAGCATGACGATCAAGGAAACTTAGAAACTCATAATACAACAGTAGAAGCTGATGAAAAAATGTCAAATAAGAATTTTAGTCTAATAATCGATCTTGAGGTTTGACTCCAGTCAGAAATTCAGATTGAAGCTCGATCACTGGCACAACAGCATTGTTGAATAAATATCAAATCACCCAGACAAAAGTGATTCAAAAGTTCCTGCTTACTTCAGGCATACGATGTCAAACAAGAATGTCAAATAGGTCAATTTCATCACGTTAAAAGTCCGTTTGCAAAAGTATTAGGTGAGTAGTTACTGGTTTTATATACCCATCACAATTATCAAAATTTACTCACTGACTCTGACGGTAACTATTTTGCATATAGGGATTAGATGAATAATGCATCCAAACGTCTAACAAATCAGGTTCATTTCAACTGCAAGAAATTTTGATATATTATACAATCACCTGCTGGTTATAAATTTTGTATACACGGTTTAGCAGGTATGGAGAAAATGCCACAATTAGTTCCTTAAAATGAGACAGGAGAACGTAAACATTTTGCAACGTTAAAGCCATACAACTTATAACTAAATAGAAGATAAGATAAATGTGCCCGCTCAGAAAGTTTCCTGATGATTTGCCATAATACTTTAGTCTGTTCGACCAGAATGATGTTTACAAAGTGCTTTGATAGTAGTTGTCAGTTTACAAATAACTCCGAAATCTCGGAGCATTCCGGCTGTCGTCGCATTGTATCACGATCTATTTCGGAATTCCGGATATTAAGCTTAAACAACAACTCCAGAAACTTACGGAAATAATCTACATCAATGTGAGATATTAATTGGTGTTCTTATTCATCGATCTAAATATGAATACACTCAGCGAAATTTTAAAATATACAAATTGTAAGTTGTGGACATAGTCAAAAGCTAACTTTAAGTAAGGTTGTCCGATTTTTAATACACTTAAACCTTAAATTGGAGAATAGCATAACAAAATGCATTACACTGCCACCCACGACAAAATGTAGCGTACGTTTTATAAGAACGTCGAAGGCCAATCAACAATTTAAAGTGATCTAAATGATAGTTAGAAGCAAAACAACCTGGTAATCTTACACATATAAGATAGATGAATTATCCATTGTTCCAGCTAAAAACCAAGCTGCATAAAAAATAATCAAAAAGCAATTGCACTCGTAAAGTTTTTGTGATATAATGTCATCATTTAATAGTTCAATTCATGAGACGATTAAAGCTAGAACACCATGTAAAACCTGGAAGCATTGGACGGCAGGTTCGTCCTAGTATGAGACTTCTCAGCAATGCGCATCCATTCAAACGCAGGACCTTCGGTCTTGAGCAGGAACATTTAACCTTTAGACCACTGAGCCGGCATCCAGTGGTGTTAATGTTCAACTTCAACCAATCCACGACCTTGTGTCACCGTCCACTATTATCTTCAGTGAGTAACTGCCTCACAAAAGACACGGTAATAATAATCCTCATGTGCGTAGGAAATAATTTTCCGGGTGGGTTTAAACTCAACATAATCAAGTTAACCTAGTGTATCGTCAAGTGGAATAACGGCCATGTTTACCTTCTTATGTTTATTTAATCAGTCATATTATGATAAATCTTTTAATGAAGAACTGTGAAGTTTGCTCTGGTTGTAATTTTTATTTGCCACGCCAGACGCGCATTGCGTTCTGGAATGTAAACCTCAGTCAAAGTTTGATCAAATGGTTTTTTTCAAGTAGACCGTCAATAAATAATGTTACTGAGGAAAATGTTTGTTGTGTCGCAAAATTTGTTTTTATAAGTGAGTGATATCTCCAGTCTCAAAACAATATCATTTGTCTTATGTTAAGTAAGCGTTACTGGGCCAAGGTTTGTGTTTAGGGTTCATAAGCTTAATTATCTACATTTAACTACTTTGAGTAACATGTCTGTGCGAATGAAACAGTAATTATGACACTCGTTTAGTTTATTGCTCTTGGTTGTCGTACGATTAAGTCGATATAATTATATTATACTTAACTATAGTGCTTGAAGAGTGTAGTGAACCAGATCAACTTAGTAAGTAGAGCTACTCTCTCATTTTCCGTTAGCATGCCCAAGCGTCAAAACTAGAAGACGATCAATGTGAAATTATGTATACATTGCAACAACACAGCACATATAGCTCCAGAAAGCTGAAGTTGAGAGCTTAGAATTTGCACAGAACATAAGGAATCACGAGGATGTTATACTGACGTATCGTATTTATCATATACCTATTAGCCATAAAATATTGTTAATACGTTTCGTCAATAGGTTACACGTAATATGGTAGTGATATGGACCCAGTATAATAGCTTAGCCTTTGATGAAAACTACAGAGAAACTGTAGTGACTAATATATCAGCCTGCTTTTAATGAGTGTACCGACTCAAATCAGTCTGCTTGCAAATAGGATAGAAAATGCCCTGGATACTGTTGTAGTCACACATTATTAGATAGAGTTCATTTTGAAGAAAAGTGATAAGTATATTTGGTGTTTATTTGTAGACTGTACGTTTAGCTCTGGCGCCCAACTCTCCTCACTCGTATGGGCTTGGTATCAGCAGTAACTCTAGATGAGCTATAAATAAGCACTGACACGAAACTTCAACTAGTGAGAGCTAAAGTAATGAGGGCTGAGAAATATTTTCGCAAACACTTAGGTCTCTAATAGAGTTAAATATGAATTCAAGTCTGGATTCTGGTACGACAAAAACAACAGTAATATGATTTGTCTAAACATCGAAACATTCATTTCTTTTTTTAAATGGTTCAACATTTTTCTCACCAGTTTGTTCTTTCTCACTGATGTTAGAGTATTATTATTATTCGCAAACATCTTATGGGTACATAAGTGCTGTGAAGAAACCATTTCGGGTTTCTTCAAAAATTCAATGATACACAATTTTCAATAATGTTGTTAGCATTACATTTGCCATGTTTGAGAAAGGAAAGAAAAGGAAAATAAAATATTAATAATAGAATAGTAATAATAATAGTAATAATAAATCAGGTTCTGCGTAATTGGCAAGAATTTTGAATTGATTTTGAAGGAGGAAAGGAAGAAACTAAGGAAATATAAATAAAGGAGTCGCGGAATACGTAAATATCTGAACGCAGAACAGGAATAAACGACTATGTATGTATAGCAAAAACGAGTAACAAAAATAAAATAAAACAGAATAAATTAATAAGTAAATAACTTATTATTGCAGTAAGAATAAGTATTTGTGTGTGCAGTCATAGTTTTGGGTGATGCTATGAAAGTATCAATTAAGTGCAAAAGATAATCAATATGTATGAGGTGTATATACATAGTGAAGATAAAACGAGTCTGATAAGTTGAATTCAGCGTAACAAAAGTTATTGTCTTAATCCAAAGCTACGTAATCTTAAGAATAATATTTATTTAGATGGAAAAAAGAGAGAAAAGAAATGAACACATAGTAGTATTTCGGGTCCTCCGTATCGTCCAATGTGGGCTGTCAAGCCCCTTGATTATTATGATCATGGTGAATTTGACAGCTGTTTGACGAACAGTATGCCAAGTGTGGACGATTATATTTCGTTCCGTGGCAGTAATGTTAGTAGAACTAACATCAATCACGTTACAGAGCAATCAATCGCAATTCAGAAATCTTCAGAATGAATATGTAAAAAATTAGAGTTATTAAGACTAACAAACAAATAGACGTATTGGCTGACGATACACGTGAGAATGTAAATAAAGAAATTTAAAAGTAGTGAGTTAATGTGGATATTGAGGGATCAGGTGTAGGAATGTTACCAGTGATGGTGATGTATAGAGTGTAAGACGGAGCACAAACCTCGACAGAGACTTCGATAACAGCTTTTCGTTCAATTATCCCACTATGTTAGATAAGCTCTAACGCCTATCCTTTGTTCGTTCACCTTGAAAATGAATGTCTGTCTGTTCTTACATTTTTTGAATTTTTTCACTTAGTTTCCCTCCTTACCTGTTTCGTGGTTGAATCACGTATTTATGGATACATGTAATCATGGAATATAGTTAAAAAACTGGCATAGACGCACAATGAGAGAAAGGAATAGTAGAAGGATTCACATGTATGGTATTCGAACGTATCCCACGACCGAGCCCAAAAGGATCAATAGAATCAAATTAATGCATTTGGCAGTCGAATGCCTAGTTAGATATTACATTCCGAAATGACTACACGATTGTGTGCTTCCAGCATATCTGGATCAAATAACGTTTTGTATCGTCTGACCTTCCAACGGATTTCCTAACGATTTTAATGGTGAAGGAAGCAATATTTCAAATCATTAGCAGCCTTGAGCAAGTAGATCGCGCTTAACACACTCAAATTTTATGACATAGTACACTTGATACATTAGATATTTTAAGTCAGCGGAAACACTGATCGACAGTAAATGATAACAAGACCAAATCATGCAATTTCCATCCAAAAATATTGTGCAATGTCTGAGAAATAACAAATTGGTCAGTGGTTTTATGTGATGCCCAAGTGTATAAGAATTACAGTAAAAACTATTAATCCCAGAAACAACGCAATTTAATCAAGAAGTATTAGATGAACACGAACAAATGAACTGTATTTGGAATTCAAAATCAAAGCAGTGATCGATACAAAGAAATCATTGGTTCACATAGACACCACAGTTTACTACAATAATTTGCTGTTTTCTTGTTCTGCTTATGTGGATATACTAGACTCGACTAACAGCTTATATTCCAGACATGAACCCACATTATCATTCATACGCCAAATGAAGACAAATCGTTGGGACCAAACAAGTTTAAGTTGCTCCAATGAGTCATTTTACTTGACGTATACCTTAAGTTCTTTAGACGCTGTCATGTTGAGAGCATAGGACACTAATATTTTGTTAAACAGGTGAGTTAAAGTTAGACCAATCATCTCAAATGGTTAAGAGTTTTGAAGGTTGATAGAACTCAAGAGAAAAGCAATGTTTTCGTTCCACTCTGAACCACCGGTATATAAGCCTGCGACAGTTCACTTTAAGGATGGAACTTAGTCTTCTTGGAGTGATAACATAAAGTTACTATTTGTGGTAAAAGTTGTAATGGGGTCGTTTTTCAGTTCCATGTGAAGATTATTTGTAGACATCTATTTTACTATCAGTGCGATCACAGTCAATAACAATAACAGGAAACAATGCAGTCATCATCCCACAGACTGATAAAAACAAAAAGAGACAAATGAATACGCGAAATACTCCTCCCTGTTTAGCATTTTAATTTTTACTAGAGAAACTTTTTTCTGTACAGATCAAGCTATATTATTCGCTAGTTATGGTTCGACAGTTGTGGATAGCTAATACCACTTTGTTTCACTCTATGTATGAACCCCGAACCTCCGGCTGCGACACCCCTATACACTTGTCTTATCGAAAGCCTGATTGGGGAGGCTCGAACTGTAGTTTCCAAAACAAATCATTGTGGAGTGAAGAGTAACCGTTGAGGTTATTTTAGATACGCTCTATCGCACAGTCGAAACCAGGGCAAAGTGATTGAGTAAATGACAATTCTAAAATTTGTTTAAATTCAAATTTGTATTATTACCTGATTAAATTTTATCGCACAGGCATTAAGCCAACAACTGTTCAATCAGCAGTCACATCTAGAATTCATTAAAATGACAGATTTGTAAAAAACATAAAACGGTTACCAAGGGCAATAAACAGATGCTCCTTTTAATACGGGAATGTTATTCTATGTTTTCTGGATAGATCTTGCACAGGTATCTGAATCAAAACATCTAGGACCGCTTTATAACCTTGCGGAGGCTCGTCATCATGAAGCCAGAAAAAGTTTACTGACATAGAAATGTTGGCTTCCTGGATCTATTCCTTTTGCAGCAGTCAAATAGCCAGAATAGTCGCATTCGACCAAAAGGAATATGGAGTGGTCTTTTATAAACTAAGTATGAAGAAAATGTTAGTTATCTGCATGTCTCGTACGAGAGAAAATTTAG